TCTCTCTCTCTCTCTCTCTCTCTCTCTCTTTCTCTCTCGCTCCCTCTCCCCCTTCTCTTTCTCACTTTCCTTGTCTCTCCACATCCTATTTTTCTCACCTGTACTAGTGCATCTGATCCCCGTCTCCCCTCTCTTTCTCTCCTTCTAGATCTTTCCACCTCGTGCCTGACCTTATGTCTATGTATGTTTATTCTAGATCTTTCCGTTGAGTCACCGCTTAGTAGGGGAAAAAGCCGTCTTTGTGATCATGTGAAGACGATGTAAGAAAGTTAATGTTATGGGCATACGATTACCTTCCTAGACTGGTGGGAGCAATAACTGAGGTTACCGAGCGGTGCTATTTGTATGTGAGGAATAAATGGAAGGTTCCCAAGGAAACCGAGGGTAACAACATGACAAAGGACTTTACGTACGAGATGACGATGTCTGTCGTCAGCACAAGACAGAAATATTTTGTGTTTATAATTTGGGGTTCCAATTTGTGAGAAAATTAAAATCAAGCCAGAGAGATGGAAATAATATGGTGAAAGACAAAATGTCAGAAAAAAAGAAAGACAGATAGGGCTGGGAAAACACCTCCAGCGAAACGTTTGGTGTTGATTTAAACACTGCAAGGAAAGAAACACACATATACACACACACACATACACGCACACATAGGCACATACATACACACAGACGTGCGCACGTACACACACAGTCACACACACACACACACACACACACTCACACACGCACACACACATACACACACATACATACATATCTACACTCACATACATACACTTATACACATTCATGTACTATACATTCATGCACACAAATATATATGAATATAAACGGACACACAAACATATGGAAAAATACACACAAACACTCTTCTCAAGAACAAAGGCAAAATAATAATGGTGCTGGTAGCAACAAAACCGACGACAATGTAGGCTAGACAAATCTATGGCTAGGTTTGGTGGGTAGCCACAGAACCCCGAATCGCGAAAGGTTGCAAAAATAGCACATGGCAGTTTCGAGAAGACCAACACACAGATGCCATAAGGAGAGCAATGACAGCCCTCCACCCCGTCATCAAGATAAAAAAGTCATAAAGATGGAAATATGGAGATGAAGAATAATAACACCCATACGCGTCGGACTAGTTTTTTTTTTCTTGTGCGCCGCTAACTGTTTGTCTTTTCCACTTACTCAATGCCACACCAGAGGTATGTGAAGGAAAAAGAGAAGCATGGCAGAAAAGCGGTACAACTTTTGACATGTCAAGAGAAATCTCACGGGCTTCAGACCGGAAGTACTGTCTTATTTCCTCCGTCACGACAACGTACACTGTTTTAGCACGCGCCGTACTAGGTCCGTGACGTCACAAAACGTAGTGAGACGAGGAGAAAGCTGACGAGTATATAAAAGTCATGGAAAGCGGATCGTGTCCACTACAGAGGTCCCAAGACACACACAGACACACACAGGCATCACCATCAGCCGTCTGAACAAACCAGGTGTGTACTTACGGATTTAAACAATGTATTAAGTTAACAATTAGTCGAAATATAATGGCCTCGGAAATTGTGTTGATAGAATGTTACCAACTTCCGAACTTTTCAAGTAGGCATGACCATGTGGAGGTGTACTGCTCATTTTGCAGGGCATGTTTCATGATATAACTTTGGACATTCTCGTCCCTGACTTGCAGCTTTGAGATTCAAGGAAGGCAGGCAGGCTGTGTATTAGTACTGCATAACATATTCCGGCAAACGATGATATTATATAGTTTGAGGAAACTGGAATGTAATAAGTTGTTTGTTAAATCCACCAACATAAATTAGATTTTGAGACCATGGATAGTTCAATTTTCTGGTATTGTTTGGGAGGTAACCTGTGTGAGCTTGACTCATACGAAAACAACAACAGATTGTAAAAACGCAGCTCAATCTTATAATAATAATAATGTTGTTCATAGAACATTTGCGACCTATACGATGGAACGATTGTAAAGTGCACTTGTAGACTGTCACAGATTTGTTTCTTGCCCAATCATGTGCTGGTTTTTTTTATTCTGTTAGACTGTACTGCTGTAGGAGTAATATTTCCTGTTTTTTGATACCTGTGCTTTAACTCGGGATAAGGGTATACAAAAGCCCGCACTGGCACCCATTGGCCTTCTTGTTGCCAAAGATTACTTTTCAGTTATGAGTCATCTCAGTAGTTTTCACAACTCACTCAAACACGAGAACTCGAAATCTTTCAGGACCCCCCCCCCCTTCCCGTGAAACTCAGTTTTAAATTTGTCCGCTTGTTTAAAGTCTTGAAGAACAGATGCTTCTGACTTCAGAATGAAGAAGCATTGTTAATATTTGCTCAATAACTATGAACTTTAAAAAATTAATAGTAAATTGTCTATGGCAAACAGACGTGTTTGAAAAGCCCACGAATGGTGAAGGGCAATCTGTATTATTGCTAAATGATAAATCTACTCTAAATTGTGATCGATCGAGTGGGTTTTACAACTGAATTATTTTGGTAGATAAAAAAGGGCGTCCAAGTTACAAGAATCCCAGAAAAGAAAAAGGAAAGAGAGACTGTCTTGCTCGGCAGTGGTAACCGAGAGAGGAGGCCAGCACGCCTGTGGGATATAATGTACACACACAGTCAGATCTGCTCACCTGTTTATCACTGATTCCCGCCCCTCCCCCATTTTTCCCAGTCAACCTTTCCTTCGTCTACCCATCCTTCCATTTGTCTATTTATCCATCCATTCATCCACCAAACTTTCCCCCAACCAAGGAAAGACACAGGTATCTATTAAACAGGATAACGATTTGCTGTGCCGTTACTGTCAGCTGCACAAATTTATATAACATTAGAGAGGCGGATTGGCCCACTATGAACAATTAGAAGGAGCAAACCGCCTTCCCATTTCCAACTACAGCTTCCACAATTATGTCAAAACGATACAGCAATGTAAGTGTATGAAAAGTAGTGCTAGAAGTAGGGTAAAAAGGAACAAAGCAAACAAATGGATTCTTAAACCATGTGGGTGAGCTGCCAGGCTGCCAAACAAATTGACTAGCTTTTCTTTCTTTTTTTTTCTTTCTTTCTTTCTTTTTTTTCCCTTCGTTCTTTTTTCTTTCGTTCTTTTTTCTTTCTTTCTTTCTTTCTTTCTTTCTTTCTTTCTTTCTTTCTTTCTTTCTTTCTTTCTTGCTTTCTTTCTTGCTTTCTTTCTTGCTTTCTTTCTTGCTTTCTTTCTTTCTTGCTTTCTTTCTTGCTTTCTTTCTTGCTTTCTTTCTTGCTTTGTTTCTTGCTTTCTTTCTCACGGACGCAGTTTCTGACTTCCTTCCTTCCCTTTCCCTCCTTCTTTCCTTCTTTTTTTCCCCCGGAGTGACTAATTGCCCAGCTAGCTGCCATACATTCTTCTTACTAACTCAGGCCTGTCCCATCAAACGGACATAATAGACATTCGTATCTGTAGCTTCTATTCGGTTATTGTCTATTTTTCTCTTAGAATCCGTATTGCCTTTTGTCTTCGAACCTTTTCTTTGTCTGTATTCGTAGTTATTCCACAGCTTTACAATTGGCTCTTCGTCCCTTTCTATTTACTTGGTTTAGAATAATGCCAGCTGCCAACGAAGCAACAATGGAGGAAAAAGGGACTTATATATCCACATCGAGTCCAGCTTGTAAGCTATCAAGAGACCTTTTAACTTTGATAAAGCAATACAAAAGCTCAGTTTTGACCCTTTCACCTTTTCCTTTAAGTGTAGCAATGTAGTACTGAAAAAAAGACAAGATGTTTCTAAGACTAACATCGGAAATTACTTGTCCATGATCACCAAACAGACTGTTGAGGGACACTTGAAGGCGATTTGCTTTTCATCATCTGCTTTCTGGATTTTTGGGGGGGCTAATCCGCCTCCCTAAGGTTGTACCGCTTTATGCTGTTGATAGTGTTGGTTACTATATCCTCAAATTCAGTAAAATGCTGAAAAAATGTTAACAATCAGTGTGAGCGTCAGCCTCTTTACCTAGCCCAGACCCCCCCCCCCCTTACCCAACCCAAATCTTCCAACACAAGTATATGCTATCACCATTTAGGACATTGTATTTAATTCCCTAGAATCCGTTTTAAAAAAAGGAATTTACAGGAAACGTAGAAGATCCTCAAAAGATTTATTTTCATTACTAAGATGTGGGGGCTCTCGTGGTTCAGAGGTATAATGTTCCCCTATCAGTCAAAAGGTCTCGAGATCGAAACCGGCTGGCGACCCGAAAAAATGTGTCCTCTTATTACATAATATCCTTTGTCCTTCTTTCCTGTTCTTTAGTCTTATCATGTCATCTGCTTTTCACTCCCCACCGCCTCCCCCGCCCCTTAAAAAAAATTCCAACACCTCTCCCTCGGTCCTCTCTCTGTTACTCTCTCCCTTACTGCTGACTCTTTTTATTTCAACTCCCGACTCCTTCTTACTGCTGTTTTGGACAACTTTCAGCCGCACCCCATGATCGTAGGGTAGGTATGATTGGATACCTAGCTTTCACGGATAGGAACGAAAAATCTTGGAGGTCCCATGTAAAAGTTGACCACGTTAAAGATTCCTTGGTAGTTCTAAAGTCAACAAAAGTAGGCTGCCGCCGCCGCCGGGCAAAATTCATCGGAAAGTGGCCGCCTGAAGGCAATAAAGAGGTCTTGACAAACGGTCATAATTGATCATACATATACGTTGGAATGAGTTGCACGCCAGGTTGAAAAACGAAGAAGAAGAAGAAGAAGATGAAGAAGAAGAAGAAGAAGAAGAAGAAGAAGAAGAAGAAGAAGAAGAAGAAGAAAAAGAAGAAAAAGAAGAAGAAGAAGGAGAAGGAGGAGAAGAAGAAGAAGAAGAAGAAGAAGATTTCTAGGGTATTCACTTTTAGAGTTGTCCTTTTCTGACTTTTTAAATTCTACAAGCAGGGAATCACTTGATGTATTTTTTGCTCTACATATGGAACGTTGAAATCACAGGTATTGCTGACGAGGTGAACGGATACAGAGAATATGGGTAGCCCCAAAGGAGCTCTGTGAGCTTACAAAAAGGACTAAATCAATTTTGTTGCCCTGGGAGCTGTTCGGAAAAACAACAACAACAACAACAACAACAACAACAACAACAACAACAACAACAACAACAACAACAACAACAACAACAACAACACCCCCCCCCCCTCAAAACAAAATCCCCCCCCCCCCAAACAACAACACGAAAAAAAGAAAGAAACTTGTTAGCTCCCAGAGAAGAACAATATTTGAAAGGTATGAATCAGTCTTTCATTAATCATTATTGCCATCTGTTTTCAGAACCATGAAGGTCTACTTCGCAGTCGCCATGGCTTGCTGCCTCATGACGTCAACGTTTGGTGAGTACATATGCGAACAAGAGTTATTTACCGTTTACTTTGAAATCATTGCTCTATTCAAAACAGAATATAGGCCATAAATAATGATAGTTGAAACTGGCAGTCTCCAGTTAAGCGTGTATATCGAAAAACAAACAAACCGTTAATACATTCAAATCTCAAAACTACAGAAAAATTGTCACATGAATAAAATGCACAGTAAACTGAACTTACATTAAACTATGCTCGTGTAAAAATAAAAAACCTGTTCCGTTATTTCTTAGCATCTGCAACAGAAACTTGAAATGATCTCACAGGCGTCCGAAGTGTAAAGGTTAGATTCCTTGCTTTGACACTCGAGTTAGTGTCCCTTGTGAGAAGTTCAATTGTCGGTAAGCCGATTGTTCAAATTTTCTAATCCTAGAAAGCAAAACTGTTCCAGGAGAGAAGAAAAAGCTGTTTCATTTTACAAGGAATTGCGACAACATAATGTATCTTTTCTTGCTTTTTTCCATCCTATAGAATCTGAATATTGACAAAATATTTTTAGAGTACATGCGACTGATACCACAAAATGTGAAACTTTAGTTAAAAGAAATAACAAGTTTTTAAAAAATTGAGCTTACTTTAACTGAACAGTTAGTCGACCATTTGTGGTTCTCCGTACCTCAACCTTTCTCCTGGTAATTCCATTTTCTTACACTTGCGGTGCTCCTTCTGACAGGTTGGGTCGAAAGATATAACTTCCTAATCTACTAGCGCAAAGTATCCTTCGGCTGTACTGCCATTATTTTGTTCCAAATCAGCTCCATCGACAATTTCTCAGTATATCCAAACAGCTAGTCACGTAAGCCTACGGTTTAAAAAAAATTACAACGTCGTCAAGTGGCGCTATATTTTCAAACGCTCATAATCTCTTGAAAATCTGCTTCTTCCCTTTTTTAAAAAGATTTAAATAAATCGACGAGTGGAATTTTCACAACGTCCCAGTGGTTAGACTACCGGATTCGTAATCAAGAGATTGCGAGATCGGGGGTCCGAGCCTCAGCTCAGTTCGATGTTGTGTCCTTGGGAAAGGCACTTTACACGAATTTCCCCACTTGGCTCGGTCCTTTCAGAGATGGACGTTAAACTCGGAGGTCCCACCTCTTAAATAGCCTCACCATTTTACCATTTCCCCCCACATTGTATGTTTATTCTAGCTGGGGGTGCCCACTTCCGCGATCGGGTCTGGTCTGGTCGTGTTGGGTCGATTTGATAGTTGGGGCTAGCCAAATTGAGGGCGCAAAGCGGCCATCGTGGCACAAACCGATCGACTCAGTCGGTGACCTGCAAAAATAAACGCGTTTGTTTTCAGGCCTGCGAGTAGCGCGATCGGATGGTTTGCAACCAATCACAACAAGGCTGAGTCACGTGTCCATGTTGACACTCAAAGTCCGGTGGCACCCTTTTCCAAAAAATGCAGACTTTGCAAACAGAGTTACCCTATTCGAGTGAAAAGTGAAAAACAATAAAAGCGAAACTAACATACAATGCTATTCCTATTCTTCTTCTGGAGAAACGAAAAAGAGCTTGAAAACAAAGACTGCAGCGCCATCTGAAGCAATGCGTGGATTTCCGCGGACACCCATTTGGCCGAGTGAAATATCTAGTTATGAACAATCTTTGAAAATTGAAAGTTATCGATGTAACCCATGTTTATGGGATTCCAGGCTGCCGCAGCACTGCGACAGGGAACTGCGGAAAGGAACCCTGGAAGCCATTGAGGTTAAAGGTTTCTCTACTTTAACTTCCAGGTCGTCGGGTACAATTGCGGCGGGGTTGTAGTGTGCACTGAAACCACCAGAAAACGATCCGACCCGACGACCCGACCCGACCCGATCCGACCCTTTCCCGATCTGATCGCGCGAATGGGCACTCCCTATAAGTCGTCGTAAAGTCAGACCTGCGGCTTCCATCTGTTGAATGCGCAGGAGCTTGTGATGTATTTCCATTTGTTCCAGCCCCACGCCATCATGTTTTTCAGTGTCAATTTTTTCAGTAGTACGTTGTCAAACACCGGCAATACGTCTCTTTGAATTGAAATAATGATGTCTCACATAACCGGACCCTCGAGGGGACGAGAATAACCTCTTGAAACATTTCAAAAGTTTTTGTTTTCTGTTTTAGTAAGTGTTGCACGACACTTGCAACACAATAAGGTCATTTAAGTGCCGAAGATTAGAGGTGTTACAAGAGAGTTTGATATAAAAATTGTCGTTTATATATATATAAAGTGTCGTTTTAGTAACTCTACGTTTCGTTTTAGGCAGTGCGGGTCAATAACCACCTTTCTTTCCCACATTTTTCATTTGACTGTTAATAGTTCACTACATTTCGTCAAAATGATAATATATAAAACTTTTAACCCTGTCTTTCCGGTCTTATCTGATCTGTGCAGAGTGCTTTATCTCAACAGGTTGTGTGTGTGTGTGTGTGTGTGTGTTTGTGTGTGTGTGTGTGTGTGTGTGTGTGTGTGTGTGAG